AGGCAGTTTGGAAAAACTCCTTTTTGGAATGACACGTTAATTAAAGTAGTAAGATGGTTTAATGTACATTTAGGAAGTTCAAAGAACATTTCGAGAGTAAGCCCATCAGTCCCAGATGAGGAATTGTTTTTAATACTATTAATTGTACTACGGAGCTCATCTAATGCTACGGGCGTGAGGAAGAAACTGTGTAAATTCTCATTTGCTTTAGGAAGATATGAAAGTGAATCATGGGAAGGAGTTATGGTGTTAACTAAATTTTTAGCCACATTAACAAAGTAAGTGTTTAAATCTTCAGGTGAATTAAAGAGTGTGCCAGACGAAGAAGTCTTATTCCTTAAGTCATTTACAATAGCCCAAGTCTCCTTAGCGACATTACCGGCTTTGGCTAGCCTCGCATTATAATAAATGTCCTTGGCAGCTTTCATAGTCTTACGATAAACCTTTCTATAAAGTTTCACGTAATTATGAAAGAAGACGCTGTCCGTGAATTTCTTAAGGTGAGATAATGAGCGCATGTTCTTTGCAGATATACGCAAGCCTGTAGTAGACCAGGGTATACCTTGTTACTTTTGATAGGCCTAAGAGGAAATGCCTTGTACGCCAGATTAGACAAGGTATCCACATAAATCTAGAAAATTCGGAATCGACGTCAGCCGAGAGGACAACCCACTCTGTTGTTAGACATAGGTGGTGAAAATTTAGAAAATTTTCATCCAAAAAAATACGGCCCAATTTGCGCGAGGTATTTTTGCATTTGGATTTTAGCAAAAACTTTGTCAATACTGCCTCATGATCAGAGAAACCCGAGTGAAGGACTCTACAGTCAACGAATTCCGGGTCAAAAGACGACACGACATAGTCTATAGTACTAGAGCCAGTTTTAGTTATTCTAGTTGGTGAGTCAACATGCATGAATATACCAAAAGAATGAAAAAGGGACTGGAGAGACTCCTTAGCTGCACACACACTGAAAAAGTCAATATTCAGGTCGCCACACAAAATTAATTTACTTTTTATAGGTAGGAATTCAAGCAAGCTTAGCAATTTTTGACTGAAAATATGTACGTCAGCGTCAGGTGTTCTGTAAATACAAATAATATAGAGGTCAAAAGCATTATGATAAACGACGGAAAATTCAAAAATTTTTTCGGATATCAGAGTATCGAACTTAGTTACTGCCGAAAAGTCGTTGTTAGTAGACATTATCATAGTACCTCCATGAGATGAGTTACTTCTGTTGAATCTAGTTAATGTAGTGTATTTTTTGACAAATACAGGCTCATCCATATTTAACCAATGTTCAGTTACGGCAACAATTTCTGGAAAATTGAGCTCTTCTAATAAAAGATATAATTCATCCGTTTTATGTCTTAAGGACTGAATATTAATTAAAAAAACACTAAGCTTGCTATCGTCTAGTTTTTCAGAGGGTGCTTGATCCTCTGTTCGCGTCATTTCACCTAAAAATTTGTAGTTTTACTTGGAGAGAAATACTTGGTATGAATTTCCCTAATTCTCTCAAGCTGCTGAAGTTTTTCCGTTGAAAAGAAGGACCTGAAGGCAGAAAGATCCGCATCCACTTCACCCACTGCGCAGGGAATCCGCGTCACTAGGAAGTCCCTCTGATGCCATAAATAATTTGATGCTGGTGTTGGTGTGCCCTTCAAAACACACACTTGAGGGTTGATCATGGAGATAGGCGAGGAATAGCCGAATAGGCTTTAATATGGAAGGGTCCCTCAGCCTAGCAAGCAAATAACGCCCATTTGCCTCATCCGAATTCTGCGTCATCCGAACCACAGGCGGAGTCAACGGGTCCATATGCAGCCCACCATCCCTCCTCGCACTCTCTTCCACAACAATTTCCACATTTTTCAGCCCAAGAGACTTACAGACAGCAATAGCCTCCTTGTCAGAACAAATCTTAGCAGATTTAACTTCCCTCGGTATATTTATGAATGTCGAGTCAGAGCAAGGTGGTAGACTTTGGATGTCAACAGTGTTTGATAAAATTTGTTTAGAGCCTCACGGAATCAATTCAACATACTGGTATGTCAACAGAAAACATTTGTTTTTAACAAATCTTTTGCAGTGTCCATTTTACTTTTAAAATTTTATATTTCTCTAAAACCATATTAAACATTATTATAAAACTACGGCAATCGTCTTTAATAAAATTATTGACTCCTTTACTATCCAATAAAAGATCGATATTAACTGTATTATTTAATATAGTTCTTTTATTATAAGATTTTATTATCTCGAAAGCATTGGTCGATGATAGAACCATAAAATATTTACTCCCTCGACTTTGAGTATTTGGCTCACGTCTCGGCCATTGAAAACTATCACTGTATTATTCGTTATAACTGAAGCGCCACTACCATGCCATAAAACACTTTTTCCGACGCTTTAGAAAGACGAAATGGCAACCGTAAAACCACGTTTATTCAAAACTGTTCCGTTGTACGTGAACCACTTTTACTACCTTGCGTTTTAGACACGGTCACGTCACATACGTGCTTATAAATAATGTGGCTTCTGGCTGGTTACAAATTTGGAAAGAGAATTTTTTTGTAGGTTTATAAATGACCGGTTAGAATTAGAAAACGTACAATGTTAATTTATTTAAGAAATATATAAAAAGTTGTTAATACTTCTCTATGTAAAGCAATAAAATAATTGAGTGGCTAAATACAGAGTTGCTTACAGTTCTGGAAAAACTCTATATCTGGTGTCTGAATCTTATTGTCTAAAATTTTCATTCCAATCCTTTTTATAAAACATGGGGACAATATTAGCTCATATTTTAAATCAAAACAGTTAAACCAAACCCAAAGCGGGAACAGGGATTGGAGTATTTTTTTGGACGAAAACTATTCCAGCATCCTTCGCACATAAATCTACGCTATCGAAAGATGCGTACAACTTTCATTTACTTTCGTTTACTTTTTTTTGATAGTCAAGTACCTAGTATTAAAAGCAATCAACTCAGTAATAATCAGTTCGAAGTTGGTCAAAAAATGAGAAGCTGAACAAATTAGGCAAATAAAATAAAGTCCTTCGACTCTAGATGCCAATCCACCAAGAGATAGAAGGCAATGAAGAAGCAAACGATTTAGCTAGAAAAGGAGTGAACACTACTAATTAGACCAGAACCGTTCTGCTTCCCAAGTGGAAACCAACTTACAGCGGAACCCATGAACCTGGAATGGGAATAACGGTTTAAGTCTTATAATGTTATTTAAAAAAAACATACCTAAGTCGACGCAGGCCAAATCTTCTGGTGTGTGTGGGGGGGGGGGGAAGTATTAGAAGAGTTTTTACACACCATAATATTTGTTATTATTGTAATAAAAAAATATTTATAATATTTGCTATTATTGTAAACTATAATAGCTGGGTATAGATAAAATTCAAATTCAAAAAAAAGTTAAGTTAAGTTAAGAATAAAGAGAACAATTTGATTCATTAATAGTTTACTAAACTGAATTTCATGCATTGTGTAATAGAAGACTAGTAGATAAACTATTTGTAATGGTAGGCAATGTTTACTAATACAGCTGCCTATTGTATTAACATGAACAAAACGTTAATTAATACCAAGTACAAGATTATTAACATGTTTGGTTGTTTCATCTGATACTCGGACGACCCTTTAGGCATTACATACGTATAGTTGTACCAAAATTATTCTTAGAGTAAAATATAATTTTGCTACCTAATACGGGCATAGTGTTTAATTGTTTGAATTTTTTTGTAAATTATCATTGTATGTTACAGACTTTTCCATTATCTTTTACAATAAATGCCAGACAAATATCAGAAAAAAATGTATTAGGAAAATGTATAAGTAATAAGTCCTATATTTTTTATAGGATTTTTTTTCTTCACTGTAAAATTCTTTTATCGGACTAGGCCTGTACCGTCTTCATGCTTTGTTTGTCATCAACTGTCTTGTAGCCTCGTGAGATTTCCCAAAATTTTCAAAACTTATCGACTCCATTTTATCAAATTTTGATTTTGACCATACTTTGACGTAAAGAAAAATAAGAGCAGTTACGTTGTGCGGATATCACCAAACCATTCTGGACCAAATTCTAATTTATGTCAGTACTGATAATGTTTCTATCAGTAAATACAATAGTATCCTGATCATATACAGGGTCGCTTTTATATATGGAAACGGTCGATTATTAGGTAAAATATAGGAGGTACCGCCAAAAGTTAAATATAAAAGTTATATGGTTTATAAATATCTATTAGCGGGTAATAAATTTAAGAATACAGGGTCGGGCATAATGTCGTGGCACATCAAAGTTTCATTTTTTTAAATGCAACTGTATATTGTTGTATATTTCGGTTTTTCCTTCAATTCTAAGCAAAAATCGAAATACACGCAATGTACCTCATACCAACCGTTTCCGAGTTATTGACTTTTGAAAATATCACTTAAACAATTTGATTTAATTAATTTCGATATGTTCAGTTTCATTTAACGATGCCATTTTACCGAAACTGTGATACTTAATAATATTTGACATTAGTTCTCAAGTTAGCATTTATAAATGTATAAGATGAGAGTATAGCAAGTCTGGAAATTACAAAATTTTCGTTTAACATTTCAATTCTTCAATTTTTGTACATTGTGTACTACGATTAATGTTTAAAATTGAAGGAAGAACCGAAATATGCAATAATATAGAGGGGGTTCTATTTAAAAAAATGAAACTTTGATGTGCTACGATTTTATGAAGGACCCTGTATACTTAAATTTATTACTCGCTAATAGATATTTAAAAATCCTATAACTTTTGTATTTAACTTTTTGCGGTACCTTACCTCTTGCTAACCGACATATCATTAGGTACATTAATGCATAACTTTACCCTTATTTAACCATTCTCGTATCTCATATAGTTTTCAAGATCCCAATGGTGGGCTTCGAATTACCCTGTATAGCGAAATACCTAATACTTAATATGCATGCTACTTACTTAGTATTTCGATAGTGTGAATCAGGTCCCCTTGTGACCCGTCCCCTATTTGGCACGTGTAGTCCCCCTGGTCCGCGTGCCGTATATCCTTGATTTGTAAATTGAAGCCCAGCAGCGATATGCGAGGCTCCATGGTTATCTTTTGGGGGCCCGCGGTCAACAGAGTCGTGCCTCGTTTCCATACTATCACGAACGGACCTGAAAATGACAAATAAATTAAAAAGTTTCACAAATTTTAAATTTCTTAATAATAATAGATACCGAGTGATTTAGGCTTCCGATAAAGTTCTACACAGTATTTCAAAAAACATGTGCCATCTCTCGTGGGGAGATTCCTCGCGTAAAAATAAGATTTATTTTTATATCAATATAGGTCCAGTTTTGCTTTGTTTCGTAGCTACAGGGTGTTCAAGTACTTTTCGCAATTCGAATGAAATTTTGAGGGTTAAAGTTACTATAAATGCAACATATTTTAAACCTAAAAAAATATCGATATATTCACCAGGGACGTGCATATGGGTTATCACTTTAATATTTTTCTAAAAAAAGTATGTACGCCACTGACTTTTTTCTCTTTTTAGCGAAATAGTATAAGCAATTTAATGCCGATTAAAAGTTGTCTCTTGGTATTTTGTCGATTTCGGCTTCCTTGATGAGATAAACGATAAATTGCGTTTATCTCATCGAGGAGACTGAATTCGATAAAATATCAAGAGATAATTCTTAATTGACATTACACGACCTACACAATTTTGATATCAAAAGAAATTTTTTTTTAATATTCCAGTGATAACCCATATGCACGCCCCTGGTGAATTTATTGAAACCTTTTTAGCATTAAAATATGTAACACTTATAGTAACTTTTACCCTCAAATTTTTATTCGAATCACTAATAGAACTTGGAAGAAAATTATAATAAATTGTTAAGATTTTAACACCCTGTAGCTGCAAAATAAAGCAGAATCGGACCTATGTTGATATGAAAAATAAATGTTATTTTTACGTGGGGAATCTCCCCACAAGAGATAGCACGTGTTTTTTGAAACAGCCTGTATATGAGGTTTTTGGTTTGTGAATTTCATTTCAATTTTTATACATAATATGTGGAAAATGGTAACGCACATTTTGAAAATATTTTTGTCCATATATACAGGGTGTGTCAAAAATATTTTGAAACCAAAGTTGTATATTTTTAAATGGAATACTATACAGGGTGAGACTTAAATAAGTACAAATATTTTTAGGTGATATTTTTATTTGGACCCCAGAAACACGATTATGAATTTTTTTTTGCGAATTATTTTTTTGAAAAGTCACAAAAAAGTTTTTAAAATTTTTTTTGAAAAATGTTTTGGATTTTTTTTAAATTTTTAATTAAAAAACATAATTTCTTGATAATATGGCAACATAAGTGGCAGATTAAATTTACAAGAAGGAAAACCTAGAAAATATCTAGTGGTCAACAGTTTAGCAAAAAATCATTTTTTTGGAAATTTTCAAAGTAAAATATCTCGGTTATTATGGACTTATTTGAAAAACGATAAAGAAAAAATAGGTATGTTTCTTTTATCGAGATCTATCAGTCTGGAAAATATTTGCACTTATTTAAGACTCACCCTAATATTTTTTTAACTCAATGGATTCACAATTAAATTTCCATTTCAAAAATACCATAATGTCATATATACTATACCTAGTGGTTTATATTTCAAAAACCACTAAACGTTTTTTTTTTTTTTTTTTTTATAGATGGGAAACGCCATTTACAGCCAGAGTGTGGGGGTCACCTCTCACCCGAGTCATACCCACTAAAACCCATCTGTAGAGTTACCTCTCCAATCTCGGAACCGCCTTGCGGCATTACTTCAAGACTGGAGATTGTTTCGCCACTTATGTCTGTGTCTGCCAAATTTTTATCTTTTCATCTTCCTGTTTTTTAAGCATGATGACTCTCATCATCCTGGTGATTGCTTCACAGTTCTCTCTATTTTCCATCATAAGCTCGCCGACATTTTCCCATGTTATTTTAACCTTGCATATTTGTTCCGCCGATGCTCTAGTCTCCAAATGCCTACTACACTCGAATAATGTGTGATTGGCCGTGTCTGATGCTTCACAATACCAGCATTTTGTGGATTCTGCCTTAGTTATTTTAAACAGGTACTCTCCAAAAGCACCGTGCCCTGTCATCGCCTGGGTGATGTAATAGTCCGTTTTCGTCCACATGTTGTTTATCCAAACCCTTACGTCCGGGATAAATATCTTAATTCGACCGTGGTATGCCTCCCATTGGTTCTGCCATTTGTCCAGTATTATCTTCCTGGCCTCTGATCGATACCCTGAGCCGTGCCTGTATATTAAATTTCTTTCCTCGATTTGTAGGATAATTGGGGGGATTTTTGCTAGAGCGAGAACAGCTTCTGTGGAAACTGTACGATACGCCGACACTACGCGTAGGGCTAGCATTCTGTTAATTTTCTCGAGGACTTTTTCATAGTATTTATAATCTGTTGCCCTGCTCCAAATGGGCGAGGCGTACAGGTTCATCGAATGCACCACCGAGGCAAGCATTCTCCTCTTTCCGTCACTGGGGCCTCTAATATTGGGAGTGATTCTGGTCAGCTGTTTGATGGTATCAACCGTCCTGTCCCTGATTTTAAGGACATATGTAGTCATGCGCATCCCGGAATCAAGCCAAACGCCCATAACCACTAACCTAACCTAACCGGTTTTAAACTAAATTTACTGCTTATTTAAAACCCTCTTAGAATTCTAAATTCGAAGAATTATTTTTTTAACAGAAAGTACTGTATATTAGTGTCTTCTTCAAAATTCGGTATACCATAATTTGCAATTTTGTTTGATATATACAGGGCGAGTAAAAAAAAACAAGAATAAATTCACAAACCACAAACTTAATAATATGGAACTTTTTCGGAAGCCTGAATCACCCTAATGACAGTGACGTCTTAAACCTGTACCAATCATTGAAAAAAAAAGATCTATGGAAACATAATTAATAATTTCATTAAATATTATAAGAGATTAATCATCTAATGCGAGATGAACAAAATTAAATAATAATTAAATTCGACTTAGTGCCTACTCTTAATACTACTAGAGTTAGTAATTACATTTTTATTCTTAATACGCGACAGTATTTTATATGAACTATAAAAGTTATTCCAAAAAACGTAACTTTTTAACTGCTGGTCGTAAGTTCTAAAATGTTACGTACTATTACAGCCGAGATTTAAACTTTTCTTTCTTCCTAATTGTAGTTCCTAAAACTTTAAGCACACTAATCCTTACAAATGTTTCCAATTATATTATATTCCCACTTTCTCTTGTTATCAGAAAACTTTTATTATTATACGTTTTATGAACTAGAAGGTAATTTTGAACCAATTTTAATAATCCAATAAATTGTATTTATTGGATTATTAAAATTATCATATCTATGTTATTAAAACCTATTTATTTTATTTAAACTTATACTGGGTCCACAAAATTTGTGATGTACCATTCGGTATATTCCAAAACAAACTATCATTTATTAGAATGATGTATTTTCAGTAAGTCATTTATAATACGGTTTAGAACCAAGATTAAAGATTTTTTATATTCTGTCAAATATTACCCTAATTAAAATGGATAAAAATGAAAAGAGATCGATAGCTCAATGATACTAGAGCTTTTTAATTGCTGAATTTTATAATACCTTGCCTACTGAACTGTGAAGAGCTTACTACATTTGCGCTTTTAAGAAATGAATAAAGTCAGGGTCGGACTGGGTCAGAGGGGTCCGTGTGGAATTGTGAGGAGTGGCCCTGTTACATTTTTTTGCGTATTTTTTCGCTTTAGATTTTGGTCAATTTTTCCCTATTGATTTGTTGTTGCCTAATATTTCTTATATTAATGTATGGCTGCGAGTCCTGGACGATGAAACAGTCAGAAATGAAAAAAATTGACGCAACTGAGATGTACTACTGGCGACGAATGCTCAGAATTTCCTGGACTGCCCGGCGAACCAATGCATCCATAATCCAAGAACAGAACATCACAGAACGCCTCTCAACTTCTATAGACTCACGTATACTTAAATATTTCGGTCAGGTTATGAGGAGGGATGCTGACTGTATGGAAAAACTCATTATACAGGGCAAGGTTCCGGGAAGAAGACCAAGAGGCCGCTCGCCCTCCCGATGGATAGACCAGCTATCAAAGATCGCCCACAAGCCACTGCACACGCTTGTACATGAAGCACAAGACAGGGAATTATGGAGACAAACTTCACACATCACCTGACCACTACATTCCTCTTGTAGGAATAAAAACAGAGAGAGAGAGAGAGAGAGATTTGTTGTTAGTGCTGAAAATCAGGGAACTACCTGTAATGGCAGTACAAATGTACGTAAATATTGTTAATCCAAAAAAAAAGTTTTGATTGGCTTTTTTCTGTTTCATTTCTACACTGAAAAAAAAAACATATAAAACGAAAAAACTACAACGTTGTACTTAGATTTTTGTAAACATAATATGACACACAATTGTTGTATTAGCTAATTTATTGTTCTTCCTTCGATTTTTCCCCAATAGTGCATAGTAACAGCAAATTGTGTCAAAAAATATAGTTAGGAGCTACATTTGTAATAATGATTTTCATTTAAATTTCAATGAGTACAATCTGAATATTTTCTGACACAAATTGTGAGAATTACCACCACACTTGTTCGCTATTTTTTTACTGTTTTGGACATGTTTTTTAACTATACGCAAGCATATTTAACTATTTTGGACATCTTGTGATAGTAGTAAAAGCTACAACGTGATGCCTAGTACCATTTTTGACGCAAAATGCAGTAGCGCTTTCTACAATTGTGGGGTTTATTATAATTTATGTTTTCGAAATTATGCGGGGGATAACCACAAACCCCCAGGTAATAGATGTCATCCGCAGAATCAAATTCCTTATGTGGCAATGGGCAGGACACCTGGCAAGAAGGACGGACAACAGATGGAACACAAAAATTATAGCATGGTACCCACGGGTATTTAAGAGACCTAGAAGAAGACTAAACCTGAGCACAGCCAACAGTAGAAAGCAATGGGCCCAACTACAAATAGAGTATCTAAATACGTGATAGATGCTACACTATAATTGGAAATGGTTGAATAACCTGAGAATGATGATGA